GGGGAGGGCAATGGGCAGAGGGGCTGCGCACAGGTCGTGTGGCGGCCTCGGTTGGGCTGTGGCACCTGCTCTGCTGCTGCTGGGTCACACGCAGGTTTCAGCCTTTACAGACAGTTTGAGACAAGCAAGCAAGGCTCTCCTGAACATCCCACAGGCATTCCGGCCATTGAGATGCTCCCAGTTGGAGCTTCCAGCTGGGGATACTTTCCAGCTAAATATTTTAGCTGGAAATCATCTTCTACTTGTTAAAGTAGAAGATGGTCCCAGCAAGAAGCTCTGCTAAGAGCCCTTTCCCTGGGTTAACACCCTCCTCTCTGACACGCATTGAAGCATCCTGTTTCCCATTCTTCAGCTCTTTCTTTTTCTGGTGGGGAAGTTCAAGTTGCCCCTCCTGCTCCATGCTTATGTGCAGGTCGCTAAGGACAGAAGGACCTTAGCAGAATCACCAATATGCCAAAGACTCTCAGAGCCACAGCTATTTCTTGATTTCCAGTTTACAAATTTCTTTTGTTACCATAACTGCTACTGGAGGCTGGTTTTACTGCCCTCTTGGTGCATGAGCTTTGCTAGCAGCTCAGAGGAAATATCTAGGTCATAAGATTGTGCCCAAACTTAATTACTGTCCAGTACTGGTCTCGTATTGGGTCCCTCACTTACACCAGCTTTTCCAGTTCTGGTTTAGGGAGGGGATGAGATTTCCCCATCCTAAGATGAACTTCGGTAAGGTAACTTACACTGCGTGATCCCAAGTGCAAGCTTATTGTGATTTATTAGAATAAAAAAAAAAAAAAAACACTAGAATTTGTGATGGCTTCAGAGCACATGGATATGCTCTTCATATGCTCTTCATAGGATTATGAAGAAGAATTTTTTGATCTGTAGATATTTTTAGATGTATTCTTCAGTTAGAGATATTTTTAAATCCAGGTGCAGAGATGGACCRATGAGGTTGTTCAGGCATTCATAAGCAAGCAAGCAGTAGCCAAAGCCTTGGATCCAGGCGTTAAGTGTCAGACAGARGTTCAAACACAAGCCAGTCTCAAAGGGCTGAGGGTGGACTCTGATCTGGCCCTAGATATTGCTCCTCTGTGGAGTGCTGTTGACTGTCTTTTAGCTAGTATCCAAACCTGYAATTTCTTCGTCAAACATGGATTTGTTCTGCTGTGCTATTGCACTACTGCTTTGCCTGATTACTTCTGAATGTTTCTCAGTGTGGGTACAGTCACAGCTACCTAGAAGTTTAGCTTCATCGTTCAAATCTGAGGTGTTGGCATAAGCCTAGCTCTATCAATAGTTTATGAGAGCTGGAAGTGCTGGTCACACCAAGATCCTTTGAGGTCTCAGGATGAGAAAGGTGACAGCAGCTGTAACTTGAGTCACCACTGCATGCACAGAGGCTTTGTTTCTGAGTTTGGTGCTAGTAAATCTTAATATCAGGCCTTACTTAAAATTTTAAAAAGCTTCCATGGGGACACTTGAAATGCGTGATGGCTCCCAAGCTTGCTTAAGGCTATACAGTAATGARTTGGAGTCCACTGAGGGACAGAATGGAAATTGGAGGCATTTGTAGTAATAGTGACGAAGAATTTAGAAACAGCTAATTATTAAGAGCCACAGACAAAACCATCAGCACTTTTCCAGTTCGGTAAATTTCTTCTCTGAAACCTTTCCAGTTCTTGTTCTGCTGTCCATGTCAAGGGTGAGGATCATTCCAGGAAAAAAATCTATTGCAGACCAGATGCCCTTCTTAAATCTTGCCCTTTCCTGATTCCAACAGCAATCTACTTTTCACATTTTGGATTATCTTGAATATAAAATATTTCATTTTTTTTTTCAAACTGCTTTCATAGTTTCTGTCACTGCCGACTTTCATAAATCTTTATGTTCTCAGTAAAAATCAATGTCTACTTATTAATATAATATTCATATGTGTTTCATAAGTTACAAAGGATTTAGTGTCATGCACACACATACACTCGCAGGCACAGCTGCATGGAGAAGTTTACAGTCTTTTATGCAGTGGGATACGTTGCAGTGACAAATGCACAGCCAATTCTGTTAAGTTCATAAATTCAAATACTGAAATTTGACAGAAACCCATTTTCTGTTGCCCAGGCTTTTTACCTCCAAGCATTCATTGTACCTCCAGAACCAGAGACAAGTAAGGRAAAAAAAATGAAAAAAGATGTTTAGGACCAATCTGCCAAGCTGAAGCAATGCAGATTTCACACGGGAGAGACAGGGCAAGAAAATGTGGGAGCAGCAACAGCCAGAGTCACGGGCTCAGAAGGAGCAAAGCCTGAGCTTTCCCTCCCCTCAAAGCCCTGGTTTCCTCTGTGGCCAGGCAAGAAAGCCRTCGGCTACGTGTTGTGCCAGTCTCAGGGCAGTCCCAAGGACAGCACTGCCACCACATGCAAACAGTGCATGT